GCAGGATGAGAAGGGACTTTGTAGTTGGGGACGGGGACCTGGGGGTGGGGAGCAGGGTCGACCCTGGTGGACGTCCTGGGGGGAGAGGGAGGGGAGTAGGCATTCTTGGCGCCCTGCGCCTCCCGCCCCAGTGAGCCTCATTCAGCGGCTGGTTCCCTTAAAGGAGCCTCTCGCCAGGGCGGTGGGGTGGGTGAGGGGAGGCAGCAGAGTTCTGGATCCCGGAGCAGTTGGTCCTGATCACCGGGTAGCCTCCACCTGCTGGCTGACTCCCTATACCCAATCACTGTCAACGCCAGGGTGCAGCCAGGGCCAGAGCCCCCTGGGGATGGCTGAGCGCACTGGCAGGAGCCTGTGGTTCTGGGAGGCGAGCCTCCTGGCACCTGGACGGAGTGTTTGAGAAGGGCCGACGCCAGCGCGCTGCACAGGAAGGAATCTGCATGGTGCTGTTCGGGCCCACAGCTCAGGAGGTCATTTTGGTGGAACTGAACTAGAACCTGCCAGCCCCAATGGGAAGAAAAGGTTGGTAACATTGCTTTACCATCCAAAGTTAATCAGTACAACTCCCCACATTAGCAGAGAAAAACGAAGAAAAGCACAGGATCTTCTCAATAGATTCAGAAAACAGTCATCTATGATTTAAACAAACAAAAACTCTTAACAAATTAGTAATAGAAGAGAACTTTCTCAATCCGATAAAGATATCTACCCAAACCCAAACCCCATCAGGAAACAAACAAACAAAGAACAAAATCCTACAATTAAAATCATGCTAATGGTGAAATGTTGGATGCTTTTCCATTGAGACTGGCGATGAGAAAGAATGTTAGAATTCTTCAATTATATGCACCTGTGCTGGAGGTCCTAGTGGGTACAATAAGGCAAGAAGAGGAAGTAAAAGGCGCACTTTCTAGTAACCCAAATCCACAACACTGACAGCGTCGAGCGCTGGCGAGGATGTACAGCAATAGGAACTCTCACTCATTGCTGGTGGGAATGCAAAATGGCACAGCTACCTTGGAAGACAGCTCGGCAGTTTCTTACAAAACTAAAATAACTCTTACCATACAATCCAGCAGTGGTGCTCCTTGGTATTTATCCAAGGAAGTTGAAAACATATCCACCTAAAGATCTGCACATGGATGTTTACAGCAGCTTTATTCATAATTGCCCAAACTGGGAAGTAATCAAGATGTCCTTCAGTAGGTAACGGGATACATTAAACTGTGGTACATCCACTCAACGGAATAATATTTAATGCTAGAAAGAAATGAGCTATCAAACCATGAAATGACAGGGCGGAAAGTCAAATGCATGTTACTAAGTGAGAAAAGCCAGTCTGAAAAGCAGTAAAAAGCTATGCAGATAGGAAAGGAAGACATATAACTGTCATTTACATATGACATAATTGAGTAGAAATCTAAAAAATTTATAAGTAAACTTAAGGTTAATTAGTTAATTTATCACTGGATATAAGTTCAATATAAAAAACTAATTGTATTTCTTTATGCCAGCAATAATTAGAAAATAAAATTTATAACAGCATAAAAATCAATACCTAAGAATAAATCTAGTGAGTTATGTGTACAATTTACACACGGAAACCATAAAACATGACACTATGTAAGATGTAAGTTAATTGAGGGATAGTCTCTCTTCATGGATTGGAACTTAAGATGTTGATTTTTCTCTAAGCTGACCTATAGAATTGATCTATAGATCCAATGCACTCAAAGTCCCAAAGGGTTTTGTTGAGGTTTGCTTGGATTTTATTTTATTTTTTTATGAAACTTGACAAACTGAGTCTAAAATATAGATGAAGAAGAACAAAGATGGAGGACTTATCCCACAGCTAGGGAAACAGTTTGGTTTCAGTGCAAGGATAAACAAATCAACCAGAAGAACAAAACAAAAGATGCAAAAACAGACTCATCCATCTATGGACACCTGGTTTATCATCACAAAGTTGACATCTCAGGGCAATGGAGAAAGGGCAGACTTTTCAATAAATGGTGCTGGATTGCCCTGGCCAGTGTTACTCAATGGTTAGAGCGTCTGCCTGCACACTGTAGGGTTGCAGGTTTGATTCCCGGTCAAGGAATATTCCTGAGTTGTGGTTTACTCCCCACCCCTGTTTAGAGTGCCTGCCGGAGGCAACCAGTTGATGTGTCTCTCTCACACTGATGTCGCTCTCTCTTTCCCCCTTCCCTCCATCTCTTCCACTCTCTCTGAAAAAGCAATGGTAAAAATATCCTCATGTGAGGATTAACAACAACAAAAATGGTGCTGGAACAATTGAGTATCCACATTGAAGAAAAAAACCAACTCTTCATCTCTACCTTCCACCATACCCTACCCAGTGGTTCTCAACCTTCTGGCCCTTTAAATACAGTTCCTCATGTTGTGACCCAACCATAAAATTATTTTCGTTGCTACTTCATAACTGTAATGTTGCTACTGTTATGAATCATAATGTAAATATCTGATATGCAGGATGGTCTTCGGCGACCCCTGTGAAAGGGTCGTTCGACCGCCAAAGGGGTCTTGACCCACAGGTTGAGAACCGCTGCCCTACACCAATTCCATGGACATGAGTGTAAAAGGAAAATGTATGTTGAAAGGTAAAACCACAAAGCTGCTAAAAGAAGATGTGGAGAGAATAGATTTATTTTCTTAAACAGGACACAAAAAGCATTATTAGTAAGAAACTGATAAAAAACACTATTAGTAAAAAAGTGATAAATTGGACTACATAAAATTAGAAACATCTGTTAATCAAAAGCCATGATTAAGAGAGGAAAAAGTAAGCCACATATGAGAAAAGTTATTTCAATACATCTGTGTGACAAAGGACTTGTATCTAAAAAATAGGAAAATGACTGCAAATCAATAGGAAAAAGACTTTAAACAGGTTCTTCACAAAAGTGGCTGTCCAATGGCCGGTGAGCTCCTGAACAGGTGTTCAACCTCATCAGTCATCAGGGAAATGCAAATTAAAACCAGAATGAGATACTACTTCACATCCACCAGAACGCTTAGTTAAACACCAGTGGTCCTAGCTGGTTTTGCTCAGGGATTGAGCGTCAGCCTGTGGATTGAAGGGTCCCAGGTTCGATTCCGCTCAAGGGCACATGCCTGGTTTGCAGGCTCAATCCTCAGTAGGGGGCGCGTGCAAAAGGCAGCCTATCAATGGTTCTCTCTCATCATTGATCTTTCTCTCTGTTCCTCTCCCTTTCTCTCTGAAATCAATTAAAATATATTTAAAAAGTTAAACACCAGTAGTTTGAGTAATTTTTCATATGTAGGTTGCTAGTACACTCATTTGAACTAGAATAGGACATTAAACATGTCCTGGGCATGGTCCTTGGGTAGGACAGGATCTGCACGGGGGAGGGGGGGGGGGCGGACTCTGGGCCTGTTTTCTCTACCAGCTCCTCATGGGCCTTGAACCCCTTCAGTGCTCCACCAGTTCTGGCCTCAGCCCCTCTTCTCCTTCTTACCCACAGTTCCAGCCCAGCTCTCCACTCAGGCAGCCTCAGCGTCTTGCTTTCTACCATTCTGATCCCAAACCACTGCCTGTCAAAGTCTCAGGCATCTCTTTGTCGATGGCTCTTGGGGACCCCTCTCTGCTTCTGTATTATGGG